AATAGTCGATCAGTCTCTAAGGCCATCCAATCAGTGTGCTGTTTCTAATGGTAGGGCAAATAGGATTTTAGGTTGTGTCTACAAAAAATATTGAATGTTAGTCTAAAGAGGTTATAATTTCATTGTACAGGTCACTTGTTAGGCCACATTTGGAATATTGTGTTCAGTCTTGAGCTCCTTACCTTAGGAAAGACATTGAATTGTTCGAAAGGGTTCAGAGAAGGGTTACTAGAATGGTGCCTGGGATGGAGCGGTTGTCATATGAGGAGAGGCTGAAATCTCTCAAATTGTTTTCTCTTTAAAAAAGAAGAATTAGGGGAAATCTGATTAAGGTGTTTAAGATTGTAAAGGGAATTGTTAGTGTTGATGCATCATCTTTTTTATATTTAATAATGAGAATAGTAGAACTATGGGACACAAATATAAATTTGGGCAAGTTAGGAGTCATCTTCAGCTAAGATAGTTTCATTTTTCGTAGAGGGTGGTTGGCTTTTGGAATGATTTGCCTTCAGATGTTGTAGAAGCAGTAAATATGAGTGAGATTAAGAAAAGGCTTGATAAGTATATGAATGATAAGGGCTGGGTTTATTTATTTTTTTAATTAATTTAATTTAGAGGATGGAACAGTCTAGATGGACCAATAGGTCCCATGTTGTCCCAAAACATTATGTTATATCTATTTGCATCATAACTTTATGGAAACCAGTGTTGGGTCAAATCAATATAAAATATGAAAGAAGGGGTAAATTTGAAACTTCTGTTAGAAATAGTTAATGAACATACTAAAATTCAGTTTTAAAAAATTGATACTTATTGTTCATATTGGCAGTTAAAAAATGCAAGCAACAGACTCTGTACATTCTACATTAATTTTTATATATATAGTTTAATATTAACAATTCATCCATTTACACTTAGCATTCTTTCATCAACTGACTTATTTCACTTACACTTAATTAAATATTCTATGATTAATTTTGGAATTCCAGTTACTCCGGTACTATTATAATAAGCTGTATCAATAAAATTATAGCAAATGTGGATTAAAGTTATTTTTTGATAACTTATATAAGCTACAAATCTACAAGTGGTTTAAAGGACATGCACTGTCTTCAGATATTTTTTTTATTCAAAATCTTATATTAAAATATTTTGATGTTGGCCTTGAAAAATTGATGATATTTGTTATGTCTCAGTACCATTTTCACATTTATAGCTTAATGTAATATTTTTAAAAGCCAAACCTATTACTTAATACTCTGTACCCCCTGTAACACTTGCAGTTTCATGTAATTCTGATTACATAAATTGTATACATATTAATGCTTTTATAACATATTTATAGATACTAGTTAGTGCTACTATAACGTGCATTCTACAAACATATTTACACTATAGTGTGCAGTCTACACAGATACTATTATCATCACCGTTTTAACTTTCATTTATTTGCAATTGGTGCCATTTATTATAAATAATGCTATTTAAATAAATAAAATACAAATACCATTACATAATGTTTTTGTGGCAAATATAATGTAAATGAAATAAATTCCAACAATCAAAACTAGCACAATTATAACCTAAATTTAAGGTACACTTTTGGAACACACAGTTATTATTATTATTATTTGCTGAACAAAAATGCGGATAGATATAAATTATTTACCAAGAAATTATGTTTTAGTGAATCATTAAAATGGTGATGATGATGATAGTATCTGTGTAGACTGCACGCTATAGTAGCACCTACTAGTTTTACTGTATTACAAGAACCATTATTTTTATGTTAAAACTTAAAGTTAGCAGTATTTTGTGGTGGTTTACTGGTACTATATTTACATATTATTTTACTATAATAGTTTGCAGTAACTGATATTTGGGTATTAATTTACAGGTAGTAATCTTACTACTATTATCACATGTCGGATGGAATGGACCTTCAACTACCACAATTTCATGTTCAAGAGAAAAATCACGAATTGTACGCAATATAATACAAAAGGTAAGATGTTTATACAGTGATAAATGGATGATTTTAATTGCTGTGTTACAGATGCTATTTTATGTTGCTTAGTTGTACATGGTAGTGTTAGATAGGAAGATGCTGCATGCTCAGAAAAGATGACAGACTGTTTTCATATTCTTTTAAAATATATTCAGCATTTGAGTGTATAAAGTCAAGAATATTTTCTTATTAAAATAACAAATCTTTGTACAGTTTTCATTGCTTTTTTTCTATCTGATATTAAAGTGATTAGTAAATAATAAAATTATCTAAAGCTCAGACAAGAAACTTTTAAGCATTTTTGGGAAAACTTGATATAATTGTATACAAATTTTTTCAATGTTTTTGAGTTAAAAAAAAGTTAATAGTAAATTAGCATGCAATTCATGCTGTTTCAGTTAGGTTGTGAGTATGATTTATACACAATAGGAGGTAACTTTAATTAAACTTGATATAACTTCCACAGAATATGGTTGATATGCATTAAACTTAATATGTTAGAAGGGTTAACATGTTTTAGAATTGAATATAGTTTTTACAGAATGTGGTCTTAAATTCATGAAATGTGCTAATTTTGATGAGGTGTGAGTGAATTTCATGTAACTTAATACAAGTTTTACAGAATGAACTTTGAACTTTAATATACAAGTAGCTGATTTTGTTTAACAAAATAATTGATGCATTATATTAATAAGTACTAGAGCAGTGGTGAAAAATGCTTTTAATTAAGCTTTATGTACTTCAATTTATATAACTAAAAGAATGAAATATAAATGATAATTTTGGAAGGTTGGTCTTGTCTCACTTGTATTTTTGATGTTATTATCTTCAATAAGTTAAGTTTACTTATTCAGCAATATATTAAATCATCACTGTCTGTTGCATTTTTTGGTGCTCAAACAATAAAGTACTTTATCAAAACTAAATGGTGCTTTAGAAATTGTTTATATAATATCTATAAAACATTCATCACTTGTACTTCATTATTCTATGTATTTTAGAAAGTACTTCCTGTTCTCAGTAAGTACAGAGTATCACTACCATTAGACTGTCCATTCCACAAACAACGAGATGTATTTTGGTGGCCTGATGAGATCACTGATTCAGAACACAATGAATGGACATGTCCAGCCTGTGGTCAGAAGTTCCACTGTGAGGAAAGATTGGCCTCCCACTGGGATGACACTCATGTTACAGTCCCTGACAAGGCATATGTTCAGGTAGACTTCTATCTCTCCTTTCTAAACTGCAAAGTCAGAGGAAAATATTTATTTAACACTAATTTGTATAGCTTATAGTTAGAATTTAATATTTTATTCTGACAAAAAAAAAACTTCATTTTTCTTTAATCTTACTTTATGTTGTGAATAATTTATCTGTTTATATAAAGAAAAACATTTTCAAGGCTCACTTAGGCTCCAAACAATTTCTTTGAAGAGAATAGATATTTTCTGTATTTAAATATTTCCCTAATTAACTATCTGTTTTTTGTATGATCATCAAGAATTGCCTAATCTTTTTAACAAGAATTACAAAATTAACATCCACTGAAGATTATCATAATGAAACCTTTGATTATTTTACCTTCATCCCAATCATTAATATTAATATTTAGAATATATTTGGATAACTTACAGAAGGATCTATTAAATATGGATCTATATCTGAGAAGGATCTATGTCTCTTCATTAAGTATATTACTTCAGACAAAATTTGTGAAACTAAAACATATCAATGAAACCTACACCTTGTAACATGGTCAAAATTAAAATATAAATTATTATTAAGCACAATAGTGGGTGTGTCTGATAAGACAGTGTGAGAAGATATAAAATTATTTAGTCTCATTCAAGCATTTTGAAAACATGATTATTGCTTAGCAATACTATTCAAATACAAATTTCAGTGATTTCTTTTTTTTTATGTATATTTAATATATTTGCTATGTAATACACATTGGCATACTATTCAGTGAAAATGAGATGAATAACAAATGGTGGCTCAACTTTAATTACATCTATATCAAGATTTTTCAATGGCTCTAATATTAAATTAGCCATTTTTATTATTTTATTTTAGACAGAAGATGCAGTGTGTTTGTCTGACTTCTGTGACATAATGAGGTGTGGCGTCATGGAGTTTCGGTTGCTTAAAAGAGGATGGTTACAGAAACTTGTCCCTACTAAAGAGCTTTCCACATCTTCAAGTAAAACAGAGGATTCATCAAGTTCTAAGATAAAGAAGCATCATAAAAGAGATTGCAATGAGAAACACATGGAAACCCTTCAACATAAATGTAGGGTGAGTTGATACCTTTAAATTTTTGCTGAGTTTTGAATACCCATTTCTTATGTTAGAGATAAAAGCTTATTATGTATAGTAAATTGAAATCTAGGGTTGAAGTCTTACTCTGGGAGTTACTTTAGTGTGCTTGAATGGTTTGGAATAGTTTGAGTCAGCAGTTGTACCTAAGGAGAAATCTATCTGGTACAAGCACGTGTTGTAATTGAATCAAACTTCTTGTTTTTGCACTATGTGAGTGTTGTATAAATATTGTAGTAGAGGAATGGTCGTGCAGGTTCACTTGTGATTGAACTTGTAAAGATGCAAACACCTGAGGTGAAGTCAAACATCACAAAGATAATTTTTTTATAAAACTTAAACTCACATCAGACATTTACAAATACACTTTAGGCTTTAGAATTATTGGATTATGTTTAGCTCAAAAAGTTATTTAGGTTAAAGAAAGCTAGTTGATTATTGGTCAAAGGTCTACTACAATTAGGTAAATCTTCATGTTGCCACTGTACTGTTGAAGGTATAATTGTTTGTAAACTATTATAAATTTACTTGTGATTGAATGTGAAAAAGAGAGTTGAAAAGAAATGCTAGAAAACATAGAGTATGTATAGATAATTGTGATTTATTATTTCTTTGATTTGCATGAGCAAAAATATTGGTTGTTTTGTTATTAAACTTATAATTAGATTATATTAAGTAACCATGATATAAAAATCAATTTTTTTATTATTAGGAAAAAAGAAAGAATTAAAATATGCCCCTATTTATAATGTATAGTACAGAAATTTTACAGTAGAGAATTAAAACTGAACTTACAGATAGATATATGTTAGTATACAATGTATATTTTACGAAACAAAATAATTAGTATTTTTAGTATGGCATGTTTTATTATACACTATGTTTATAAAAGCCGAAGTCACGAGTCTTCTTTAATTTGCAGATTACTGCATTCCTTGTTCCTCAGTATGTAGTTTGTATCTTTTGCTGGAAAATCTTTAGAATTGAATGAACCATAAAGGTTACCTTTTCTAGTTTGTTTGTTATGATTGACCAATAATTAATTGTCAAAATATTAACCAAACATTTGATGGATCCCAGAAAATTGTCAATTTTTGGAATATTCTATTATTGTATACATCACTAATTACAATAAATTCTGAAAATCAAAGAAAGAGTTCATGGTTTAATATGCTCTTCATAACATAATCATTCTTCTTTCTATGTAAAGTAAAAATCAAGTGGTTATAACCATGCTGTGGTTAAACATAAAGCAGATTGTAGTTTTTAATATCATTATCCATAACTTCTGATCAACAATTGAGCTAACTCTGTAGACCATAACTATAAAATACTCATGTAGTCAAACTGTGTAAAAAAAACATTAAACAAGTAGTGATTCATAATAACACTATTACACAGCCAAGTTATTGTAAAGAATAAAACAGGTAGTGGGTCAATCCAGGGGTCATAATATCTTTATAGTATAATAAAGTATAAAGCCATTGGTGATTTGTTTAAAGTGGTCTTTCACTCATTGAATGAAATTATTTTTGGAGGGTGGGAGAGAGTATGGGGAGTTAATAGGACCTAAAAAATCTGCTTACAAGATATATATATATAGCACTGTTAGTAATTACAGAAATAATTAATTAAAAAGGGTATAAAATGCAGTTATTATGGGATTGCTCCTCCTCTATTATGTGAAAAAGTATTATTGATAGTTTCCACTGTAATTGACTGACATCTAACCAATCAGACAGTGTAATACCAGCATAATGCCTCCAGAAGTGAAGGTAATCACACTGTTCTGAGCAGTGGTATTACGATTGTGCTTATGGCTCCGAGGATATAAATGCCACATGACAAACATGTAGAAGTAAAATATTTGGCTGAATGCATCTCCAAGCAACTATTGAGGCAAAATTTCATGGTCCAATAGAGGCTACATGGAAATTGATAAAATATTTGACTTTTTGCCTCTATTTGTAAAGATGTCATGTTAGTTATGTGGCAAATCTCCATATATGAACCACTATAAGAGATTTAAACATTACTTCTTATATCTGTTTATGTGATGTAATAAAGGAACATTAGTACCGAAATAAACTTAACTTTTATTTTTCTGTACATTTCTAATTTCTTTATGAAATGTCATACATGTTTCTCTGAAGTAAGATGTCTTAAGAGTAAGAGTTTAATCAAGCAAAGCAAGATTTCTAGAGAGGAGGCTTTTCCAAATGTGGAGTATTGTCTTAAGGATAACTAAATTATCACAATTTAACATTTTTTTGTTTTCCTTTAGTGCTCTATACACATTGATTCTAAACATACAGAACATACAAATTCAGTATTATGGTTGATTGGCCTATTGCATTTGGATACAGTAATGCATTGTATACAGTGCTTAAGAAGATATTTAGACTTTAAACTAGTATTATTGGTATGTTTTCCATTCAAACCAAGTTTTAGGCTTTAAATTTGATTTCACAATAGAAAAGCATGTTGTAGACTGAAGTGTACTTATCCATACACTGATTAGTCACCTCCACCTAATATCAGGGTGAACCTCCTTTCACTGCAGTAAAAGCTTGAACTATGCTTGTATAACATTATAAGATGCTTGAGCATGTCTTGTTTGGTAATATAGGTCATTCATGTAAGAGTATAGAAAGAAATTGCTTCAAAAGTTTGGCAAATTTGATATTCAAGCTCTTTTGGAAATTCCTTAGTTTGGTTAAAATTCAGTGATTGTACTGGTTTAGGAAGATGAAGTTATTGTCATACTATTTAAAAGAATGTTGGACAGCACTGTGGATTATTTCAAAATTGACTTGAAAGAGACTTTTTTTTTTAATCAGTTTGAAGTTTAACATTCTGCCTAAGGTTGATCAGTAACAACGTTAGATATACCTTTATATCTTACTTGCCCTTCTAAAGGAACCAAAGAACTCGTCAAATATAATTGATACTTGTTTTTCCTCAATTCTTTAACTCCTCAGATGTCAGGAGAATGTTTCATACACTTTTACAGCACTTTCAGAACCTTCCACTGTTTGAATAATACAAGAAAGACTTTAGTATTCTCAAATACTGACTTACCTTACAGGTAAGAATAAACCACAAATAAAAGGAGGAATGGCAAAAGATATTATGCAGAATTACTCTTAATTTCTGACCCTGACTGAATTGAATAAAGACAATGTTAAGATAAATTCAAAGCAGCTTTTATTTATTTTCTACACAATAAAGATGACAGAAACAAGACAGTACTACCAACTATCTGATATTTGGATCTTTATTCAGATCTGAAGGAAAGCCTATTTTAGCCTGAAAGAATATGATGAATTTATACAGAGAAGCAATAGCAATATCCTTCCTAGAGTGTATGTGCTACCCACACCCTTTCTTGTTATACCATAAATAAAAATAGGGCAGTCATAATCCTCCAGTTTTTCTAAATCTGCTGCATGCTTGATATTTTTATAGCAGCCACCAAATTATGCTCTTCATTGAGAGAAGGTAAGTGATCTGTGACAGTAACTACAACCAGCAAGTTATCCACATACTACACCATAACTACTGTAAAAGGTACGTGAAACATTAGGTGAAAATGAAATGTTCACCCTTCTGTGTTAGAACAGAAAAGAAACACCTAATATGTTTGACGTACCACAGGGTCAGTGTCAACAATTTTTGTCTAAGCACCATCATAAATATGTTTTTCTGTTTGCATCTGAGATGATTAGTGTTCTTGATTGTTATATGACATTTGTTATGATATCCATGGTGTGGCACAGTTAAAGCAGTTGAAAACTGAATATTTTCATTGAATCACTCAATCTGGTCACATCCTGCTGTTACACTAATAAAGCCTGTTCAGCCATGTTGTCCCTTGATCAGTTACCAATGGTTGGCGGCCACAGTTTTCCTTAGTAAAAGACATATTCTGTGTCAGTTGGTTTTCTTGATAGTGATGAACAGCTGGCCACATCCTGTTGTTGCACTAATAAAGCCTGTTCAGCCATGTTGTCCCTTGATCAGTTACCAGTGGTTGGTGGCCACAGTTTTCCTTAGTAAAAGACATATTCTGTGTCAGTTGGTTTTCTTGATAGTGATGAACAGCTGGCCACATCCTGCTGTTGCACTAATAAAGCCTGTTCAGCCATGTTGTCCCTTGATCAGTTACCAGTGGTTGGTGGCCACAGTTTTCCTTAGTAAAAGACATATTCTGTGTCAGTTGGTTTTCTTGATAGTGATGAACAGAAATGGTCTTTACTAAAAATGCTCCTGTTAGATGAACATTCACTAATATATTACTTTTTAAGTAGTACACATACTCTCTTGTCTAGTGCTTTG